GTCTTGTGAGCAAAAATTCTACTTTGTGAGCTCCTGTCATGAAAGTTGTGAGCGAGCGATTTGGCTGCTGCATAAATTAGCTTGCTCTCTGGAGCTGTCCTTCCTGGGCTGAGACAAAAATGTGTGAGCCGGAGGCTAAGAAACTGTGAGCTGGCTCACACTAACTCAGCTTAGAGGGAACTCTGCCAGGGACTTGTCCGGGCAGCAGCTGAGGAGGGTCACCACCCTCCCTGTAGACCAAACCATTTGGACCTTGCCCCATTTTGACCCCCCTTGAAAAGGTGGAAACGCTCCCAAAAAGCTTTTAAGACAAGTAATGATCAGTGTTCCCTCTAAGTTGAGTTAGTGTGAGCTAGCTCAAAAGTTTTTTAGCCTCCGGCTCGCACATTCTTGTCTTCGCTCAGGGAGGAGGGCCCCAGATAGAGATGTAAAATTTCTGGAAATTTTGAAGCTCGGAAAAAAATGGAAATTTTCGGGAAAATTGAAAAAAATGCTACATGAGCACTTCTTTTGTCTTTTCTAGATTGAAAGTCATTCTGTTACTTTAGGAACATAAAATATGACTATGGACATTTTTACTTGGCATGAAATTATCACAACTAGCATATTAAAAATACAGTGTATCCAAACAGTTATTACAAACAGAATACCCACCCACATGCAAAAACAAAACTGAAACCTTTTTTATTTCCTTCTGACAATCGCACCTCCTAAAGGAAAAAATGCATCTTGTTCTTGCATTGGAGAGTTCAGTTTGTAACCTAGGACTTGCTTGTCCTCAGTGCACAGAAATTAGATCAATCTGATACCATATATATATATATTAGAAATGATTTGGAAAATATTTGAATACCTTGTCTTAAAATATTTTATTCATCATGTTAAAATAAAACGTTCCATAATCAGTTTTTTTTCTTTCTTTCCTTTTTCAATTTTTCGGAAAAAAACAAAAAGGCTTCAGGAAAAAAACGGAAAAAAACCCATTTCCCCCCCAAATTTTTCTGGTTTTTTTCCGGGCCTTCACATCTCTAGTCCCAGAGCAAGCTAATTTGTGCAGTATTTCCCTCTAAGCTGAGTTAGTGTGAGCTAGCTCTCATTTTAGCCTCCGGCTCGCACATTCCTGTCTTTGGTCAGGAAGGACGCCTCCAGAGCAAACTGATTTATGCAGCGGCCAAATCACTCACTCACAATTTTAATGCCAGTAGCTCAGAAAGTAGAATTTTTGCTCATAAGACTCTACAAGCTTAGAAGGAACATTGGTAATGACACTCATAAGAATATATCAGGTATATTGAGTATGTAAACACATACAACACTTCAAAAGAATGTAATGCACACCATAAAGTCACACAAGCTGCAGAGTGATGATGCTTAAAGGGATACGATCCAAAGTAGTCCACAAGCACAAGGCCTCCTAGGGGCAAAAACAGTCCATCGAGAAAATACGAGGAAAATCTTTTCGCCTGCTAGAGTTGATACCAGTGGGTTGTGAATTTGCCAAAAGGCCTTGGACTCCACTCAATACGAAAGAGCATTTTGATTTGTGCATGGCCGTTGTACCTACCCTGACTCACAGAGCCTTTGACGAAGGATTGTCTTCAAAACGGTCTTAATATTACGTACAATACCATCGGGGTATACTAGACAATAGTTTCTCGATGGACTGTTATTGCCCCTAGGAGGGCGTGTGCTTGTGGACTATTTTGGATTGTATTACTTTAAGAATCATCATTCTACGGTTTGTGTGACTGTATGATGTGCATTACATTCTTTTGAAGTGCTGTGTTTACATATTCAATGTATTTAATAGATTCCTGTGAGTATCATCACTTGTCTTAAGAGAAGAGGAGGAGGAGGAGATTGGATTTATACCCCGCCCTTTCAGAGCGGCTGACAAACTCCTTTCCCTTCCCCTCCCCACAACAGACACCCTGTGAGGTCGGTGGGGCTGAGAGAGCTCTTTCGAGGACTGCTCTTGAGAGAACAGCTCTGACGGAACTGTGGCTTGCCCAAGGTCATCCAGCCAGGTGCAAGTGGAGGCGTGGGGAAATCAAACCCGGTTCTCCCAGATTAGAACCCGCGCACTTAACCACTTCCGCCTTTTCGTCCGTAGATTTACACTCTCTCTTCCCACTTAGTTTTGTCCGTTTTGACCCTCGGCTCTGAGTTAACCAGCTTTCGCAAAGGAGGCCTCACCCGGGGTGGTCAAGGGCCACCTCCATATCCCCACCACGATCTCCCCAGAAAGAGCCCCATGCTGGGGAGAGCCAAATGGCATCCCTGATCCCTGCAAGTCGCTCCCTGAGCAACTCCGGACGGCCGGATGCCCCTTGTTTGATGGGATCCTGTTGGGAGGGGGTGCCAGCCCCGGGTGGGGTGGGGGGGCTCATTCAACAAGCTGAGATATTTATGCATTTATGCAACTTATTTATTTCTTCCCCTGAAAATGGGGAGGTATTTACATCCCCCCCCCCTTTATTTATTTGCTTATTTCTCTGGCTAAGAGGGCCGGGGAGACTCGCATTAAGAAAGGATGACTGGTATGTACCCACTGGCGGCTGAGAAAATAGAAAGATGAACCAAAGAGACACAGGCTGGTTCTGCATCTGGCGTCCGCTCCACATTTTCTCAACACTGAGGGAAAGGTGCCGCTCAAAACCACATTCAGATACCCCGGGCAACGCCCGTACTGACCGCAAAGTCACCCCCGAAGGGCCGTAAATCTATGCAGAAGGCGCCATAGAACTCAACCATCACAGAAAGCGAAAGTGACGTGCAATGCAGAGGGTACCATAGAACCCGATGATCAGAGAAAGCGAAAGGGGCATGCAATGTAGAGGGTACCATAAAACCCGATGATCAGAGAAAGCGAAAGGGGCATGCAATGTAGAGGGTACCATAAAACCCAATGATCAAAGAAAGCGAAAGGGGCATGCAATGTAGAGGGTACCATAAAACCCGATGATCAAAGACAGCGAAAGCAGCATGCAGTGTAGAGTTTACCATAAAACCTGATGATCAAAGACAGAGAAAGTGGCATGCAGTGTAGAGGGTACCATAAAACCTGATGATCAAAGACAGCGAAAGCGGCATGCAGTGTAGAGGGTACCATAAAACCCGACGATCAAAGACAGCAAAAGCGGCATGCAATGCAGAGGGGAATTTCTGCTCCAAGGTGGGTTTGCTAAAGCAGCGGAGGGAAAGGCCAATGCAGAATCTCCCACAATTTCCAGCCCTGGGGTTGACCGTCAATCATTGGGAGGAGAACCCTAGCTAACCTCACAGTGGCAAAGACACCATCCCTCCTCTTGGTACATACACAGCTGCACTGTGACCCGGATAAGGTTTGGAGGACCTGCTTTAATGGAACCTCAAGTCTTGCTGTACAACTTCTCATTCTTGTTTCAATGCTAGACAATAAATAAATAATTATTACGTACCTAAGTCATACTAGGCACTGTGCAAAGTGGGGTGTTTTTTTTGGGGGGGAGGGGGTGGAATGCAAACCTATCCGCAAACTTAAAATTCTAAGGGAAAAGAGATGTTCCAAACATCTCAACACTCAAAGCCTCTATTAGCAAATGACGGGTGCAATCCACAGCTCTGCTTGGAAGGCAACACGGGGAATCGTTTAGAGTGCTTTTTTTAGAGAGGAAAAGAGTAGCGTCTCACACCTTCCTCTACAACTTCTCTTTCTTGTCTCAATGCCAGATAAAAGAAAATAAATAATTACTGCGTACCTAAGTCATACGCTGCGGTGGCTCAAGTGGTTAAGATGCTGAACTGCAGGCTGTGGAAGGTCGGTAATTCAGCAGTTCGAGACCCAAGTGTGTCGCATGACGGAGTGAGCTCCCGTCTCTAGTTCCAGCTCCTGCCAACCTAGCAGTTCGAAAGCAAGAAATTGCAAGTAGATAAATAGGTACCACTTCGGTGGGAAGGGAACAGCATTCCGTGCGCCTTGGTGTTTAGTCATGCCGGCCACATGACCACGGAAACGTCTTCGGACAGCGCTGGCTCTTCAGCTTTAAAACGGAGATGAGCACCGCAACCCTAGAGTCGGACTCGACTGGCTTTCGAGCAAGGGAACCTTTACCTTTAAGTCATACTAGGCACCGTGCAAAGTTTTTTTTTTGGGGGGGGCAGGGGGTGGAATTAAAGCCTGGTCCACAAACTTAAAATTCTAAGGGAAAGGAGATGTTCCAAACATCTCAACACTCAAAGCATCTATTAGCAATTTACGGGTGCAATTCAGAGCTCCGCTTGGAAGGCAACATGGGGAATCGCTTAGAGTGCTTCATTTTTTAAAGGGGAAAAGAGCAGAGAGCAGGAGAGAGAGAGTGAAAAAAGGAAAAGACGGAAGGAGAAAGACGAGCAGACAGAGCAACCAGTTCAAAAGTAAAAACTAGATTCCAGCCCAGGAGCACATTAGATTAAATTTTAATCTGCCTTTCATGTTTTTTTTTTATGTATTTTGAAATTTTGGGATATTGTAAAACTTGTGCTTCTTTTTTTTGTACGACTGGTCCAAGGACCATAACAATAAACTGAACAGTCCCTTCATCGGATAGATCACTTGATGGATGGATGTAGCTGGTCTATGAGAAACAACTGAATTCGAATCTAGAAGAAGAAGAAGAGATTGGATTTATACCCCGCCCTTCACAACCCAAGGGAGCCTCAAAGCAGCTTACAAACTCCTTTCCCTTCCCCTCCCCACAACAGACACCCCCTGTGAGGTAAGTGGGGCGGAGAGAGATCTGACAGAAACGGCTCTTTTTCAAGAACAGCTCTGACAGAACTACGGCTTGCCCAAGGTCATCCAGCAGCTGCAAGCGGAGGCGTGGGGAATCAAACCCGGTTCTCCCAGATTAGAGTCCGCACACTGAACCACTACATCAAACTGGCTCTCCTACTGTTGACCCACATGGCTTCCCTCTGAAACGAAGGCAAAAAGTCGGTTCTCTGGCACAGACTGCAGACGGGCTTCCTTTCCCCCCCCCATCCGGCATGCCCCTCAAATTCTTCCCCACCTCAACCTATTCAAGGTGTGCGTGCGCATTACCTAGCTCCTCTACCTCCACGGTGCTCTCCCCACAACCAAGAGCACATCTTCCATCTTCCAGTCCTGTCTCTCTCTTCTCAAGAGACATTTCCTGCAAATTAGAAATGGGGATTTTTTTGGGGGGTGGGGGGGGAAACACAGCCGATCAGCCACTGTACGAAACAGGAAGCTGGACTAGAGGAGGAGCGGCCTGATCCAGCACAGCTGCTCCTGTGTCCTTTACTATTTTTCCCCTTTGCGTATTCCCCCTCAAAGAGCCAAATGCCCTCTTTGGGCAAAACTGTATCCCCTTGATCACCGCCCGTTGTTTTCACTGAATGCAAATGCGAACGGGAGTTCGGAAGTGCATGAAACTCCCTTTGCAAGGCCCATTTGAGAGGCAGTTTGGTGCAGTGGTGAGGAGTGCAGACTCTAATCTGGGAGAACCGGGTTCGATTCCCCACTCCTCCACATGCAGCTGCTGGCGTGACCTTAGGTCAGTCACAAGTTCTCTCAGAGCTGTTCTCTCAGGAGCAGTTCTCCAAAGAGGTCTCTCAGCCTCGCCCACCTCCCAGGGTGTCTGTGGTGGGGAGGGGAAGGGAAAGGAGATTGTGAGCCGCTCTGAGACCTCTGAGTGAATGGCGGGGTATAAATCCAATCGCCTCTTCTTAATTTTTGAGGGACGGCAGCGTAACACAGGATGCCAAGAACTCGTTCTGTAGCCCCAGGCATGTGAAAGTGCCAAAAATTAAGAGCTCTGGGCACTGGATTGGAAGAAACGACCCCACATTTTCTAAAAATTACTTGTCCATTCAGAGGTGCACCTCGTTCTGACCCTGTTCGCACTGGTGAGCCACAAACGGCAGCTCTGCGATTTCCCCCTTAAGTTAGACACTACGATGCTCCTCTACTGGACACAGCCAGAGTGATGGAGTGTGAAGGGCAGGGTTTCCCTGTCTGTGGGAAGCACTATAGCACTATAGGCACGGCCACAAAATGGCCACCGCAGGAGGCAGAGCCAGCCACAAAATGGCCGCCGCAGGAGGCAGAGCCGGCCACAAAATGGCCACCGCAGGAGGCAGAGCCGGCCACAAAATGGCCGCCGCAGGACGCAGAGCCGGCCACAAAATGGCCACCACAGCTTCCCCTCAGTCACACAGTGAAGATCCTTGTGCTGTGGTGGCAGCCAGTGTTCCCTCTAAGCTGAGTTAGTGTGAGCTAGCTCACAGTTTTTTAGCCTCCAGCTCACACATTTTTGTCTTAGCTCAGGAAGGATGGCTCCAGAGCAAACTAATTTATGCAGCAGCCCAATCACTCGCTCACAACTTTAATGCCAGTAGCTCACAAAGTAGAATTTTTGCTCACAAGACTCCACGGCTTAGAGGGAACACTGGCAGCTGCCGCCAATGCAACCTTTTTTAAAAACTGCACAAGCCAATAAAATCTCCAATGGCCAATCAGACGCCTTGCAAGGCAAAAGCCTCACCCGGCCCCAACCATTTTCTATAAACATTTGGCTGGCACCAAGGAAGAAGAGGGGGAGGAAGAGGAGATTGGATCTATACCCCGCTCTTCACTACCCAAAGGAGTCTCAGAGCGGCTTACAATCTCCTTTCCCTTCCCCTCCCCACAACAGACACCCTGTGAGGTAGGCGGGGCTGAGAGAGCTCTTTCCAGGACTGCCCTTGAGAGAACAGCTCCGAGAGACCTTGTGACTGACCCAAGGTCACACCAGCAGCTGCATGTGAAGGAGTGGGGGATCAAACTTGTTTCTCCCAGATTAGAATCCGTGCTCCAACCACTACACCAAACTGGGTCTCACAAGGTGTCAGCATGTGCCACAGAGCCCGTGGGCACCCTGTTGGGGACCCCTGGTGTAAGGCCTGTGCCAAGCTAACCGTCTCCAGCAATACAGGCTCCCCCATGCTTTGGCACGCACACATTTTATCCCTGGCCATTGCAAGACACATCCGCAAAAGAAGAAAAAGGTTTTATTTCCTGAGATTGACAGTATTCGGCCAAGTGCAGTCAGGTCTACTTCCCCCGACTCTGGGCCGGGTTCCTCCCCCACGCCCCTGCCCCTGCAGGTCACTTATGAAGAGCGAGACGGATCCAGAACCCCTCCTTCGATCCTGAACACCTTCCATGAACCGCAGGGCAGACTTCCACTCCGATGCACAGCGCAGGTAGCCATTTCAGGTCCACTCCGTTCAGGTAAGCACCCGACATTCCCGCTGGGGAGAACCGTCGGTTTCTTCAGTTCCCTATCCTACGATGACGGCAGAGGCAGGTTCCGGCAGATGATGGCGATCCTTCGTTCTCGGGGGATCTTCTGGCCGTCGAAAAAGGACTCCTCGTCTCTCAGGATCTCGTGGGTGAATTCATAGCGAGCCGGTCCCCTTCGTCCCAAGAAGAAATCACACAAGACACCCACATGAAGCTGGCCTGATACTGAAATATCAAACTCGGTTCTTGTTTGCCATGATTATTGCTGTTCTTTTGGTCTCGGGTTCTGTGTGCCTATTTGCCTTCTGTCATTCTGGTTGGGGGGCAGGGAGGCTAAGAGCGTGTGAGTGTGTGGATGTGAAAGCTGCTCCGCAAAAAGCGTGCGAGCTTGCAGCGGCATTAAGCGGGGGCCTCCCTTCTCTGGGAAGTACGCGTGCTTGACCTTGGATGGTAGACACTGCTAGATACTAAGCTTGCAGGTGTTGGGGGAGGATCTGTGTGATTGGACTGATGAGCAGGGGGACTGTTTGAATTCTGTATAATACCAGTACTGGCGCCAAGAGGGTCAGTTCCGACACGGAACGTCTTAGCTTGACACATTCTCATCTCTCAATAAACAAATCATTGCCAAGAGAGTGTTGTTGGGAGCAAGTTTGTTCAAGAGTCTGACATGAATAAGACTATCAATCCATCGAGGTCAGTACTGGGTCCTCAGACTGAAGAAGAAGAGATTGGATTTATACCCCGCCCTTCACTTGGAGTCTCAGAGTGGCTTACAAACGCCTTTCCCTTCCCCTCCCCACAACAGACACCCTGTGAGGTAGGTGGGGCTGAGAAAGCTCTCCCAAGAACTGCCCTTGAGAGAACAGCTCTTGTCAGAACTATGGCTTGCCCAAGGTCATCCAGCAGCTGCATGTGGAGGAATGTGGAATCAAACCCGGTTCTCCCAGATTAGAGTCCACGCACTTAACCACTACACCAAACTGGCTCCAACAGTTTGGCAGCGGCTCTCCAGGGTTTCGGGCAGGGGTCTCTCACATCATCTACCGCCTGGTCCTTTTTGTTGGGATATGGCGAGATCTAAATTTCAGTCAGGGACCACGGTGGCTAAGAGGTTAAGACGCTGGACTGCAGACCGGAAGGTCTGTCGTTCGGCAGTTCGGCACCCGAGTGCCGCGTGACTGAGTGAGCTCCCGTCTCTGGTCCCAGCTCCTGCCAACCTAGCAGTTCGAAAGCAAGAAATTGCAAGTAGATAAATAGGTACCGCTTTGGCGGGAAGGGAACAGCGTTCTGTGCGCCTCGGCGTTTACTCATGCCGGTCACATGACCACAGAGAAGTCTTCGGACAGCGCTGGCTCTTTGGCTTGGAAACGGAGATGAGCACCGCCCCCTAGACTCGGATTCGACTGGCTTTCAAGCAAGGGAAACCTTTACCTTACAGTTCAGTCATTACAGGGTTCACATATTTGCTATGATTCTGCCAGAGACCTGACCTGGAAATGCAACCTGGCTCAGAGCCGAAGCCTGTATGTTAATTGGTGCATTTGAGAAACTGATTGGATGGTTTTAATTTATCAGTGTTTTGGGTTGCTCACGTAGTTAATTAATAATGCAATAAATATTTTTAAATGCCTTCGACAAACATATTTTTAAATGCTTTCTAGCATGGCTTTTGTGTGGGGGGGGCATGGCTTTTAATTAAGGGGGCATAACCCTGAAATGCCCCACTGTAGCTAAGGCCCACCTGTGAGTTAGGACTGCAAAGTGCATCTTTAGTGGCGGTCTACTGAACAGATGCTGGGGACAAGAGGCGGCCACCGCGTTGCCAAGACCTGCTTGCCTTGTGGGGAGAGCCAGGGGGGTGGAAGAGGGCCCTGGGGGACCCAGGTTCAAATCCCATTTAGCATGGAAGCTTGCTGGATGACCTTGGACCTGTCACCGCCTAGGCTACCTCACAGGGTGGTTGTTGTGAGGGAATGGGAGGAGAATGAAGTTTTAAAAGCCTCTCTGAATCCCAAGCATGGAGAGGAGGAGGAAGAGAAGACCTGGCCCTCCCTTTCCTTACAATCGCCAGGGGTCATTTCCTGCAGGAGCGCACAGGAGCAGAGCTCCGGCAGTAAAGAGCCCAGGGGGCGGGCACATGCAACAAGCCCCACCCCCTCCTCCCAGCAGCCCTCAGTCAGAGCAAGAAGCAGCCAGGTAAGTTGCAGAGCACCCCCCCCCCAATAGCTAGCAATCCAAAACGGTCCAGTGGAGCCTGAGCGGTGGGTGTTGCCTTCTGACACACTTCCGGTGATGTCAGGGGGCGTGGCATATGCAAATAAGTTATGCTAATGAGCTATGCTAATGAGCTCCTGCACCTCTTTTTCTACGAAATGACCCCTGACAATCGCCTTCCCTCCTCTCCCCACAACAGACACCCCGTGAGGTCGGCGGGGCTGAGAGAGCTCTCTTGAGGACTGCCCTTGAGAGAACAGTTCTGAGAGAGCTTGTGACTGACCCCAGGTCACACCAGCAGCTGCACGTGGAGGCGTGGGGAATCAAACCCGGTTCTCCCAGATTAGAGTCTGTGCTTCTTAGCACGACACCAACCTGGTCCTCTCCTTCCTTACAATCCCCTTCCCATGACAGACACCCTGTGTGGCGGGTGGGGCTGAGAGAGTTCTTTCGAGGACTGCTTGTGAGAGAACAGCTCTGAGAGAA